AATAGAGGCTTCAGGCCGAATAGAGGCTTCACGAACCTCGCCGGGCGTCAGGGGAATAGAGGCTTCAGGCCGAATAGAGACTTCACGAGCTTCACCGGGCGTCAGGGGAATAGAGGCTTCAGGCCGAATAGAGGTTTCACGAGCTTCACGGGGCGTCAGGGATATAGAGGCTTCAGGCCGAATAGAGGCTTCACGAGCTTCACCGGGCGTCAGGGGAATAGAGGCTTCAGGCCGAATAGAGACTTCACGAGCCTCACCGGGCATCAGGGGAAGAGAGGCTTCAGGCCGAATAGAGACTTCACGAGCTTCACCGGGCGTCAGGGGAATAGAGGCTCCAGGCCGAAGAGAGGCTTCACGAGCTTCAATGGGCGTCAGGGGAATAGAGGCTCCAGGCCGACTAGGGGCGTCTAGGGTCGCCACCCCACCAGCGCGTCGCAATTCGTAGGCCGACTAGAGGCGTCACGGGCCGAGTACAGGCTTCAGGCCGAATAGAAGCTTCACGAGCTCCAATGGGCGTCAGCGGACTGGAGGGTTCAGGCCGAATAGAGGCGTCACGACCTTCACCAGGCGTCAGCGGAATAGAGGCGTCACCGCAGCTCCTTGGGCGAATCGAGTTTTCAGATAGCGTCTTCGGCGCCGGCTCGAACGGGAACCCCCCCGAGCCATGCCTTGTATATACACATATATATACACACATTATATATATGTATAGAGATAGAGAGAGAGAGAGAGAGAGAAACGATTGCTACGTATTGGGGCCCTTAGAAGAGAGTTCAGGGAGGTTTCTGAACACTTGTTGGACGTCTCCTGGGCCGTCTGGAGGCCATCCTGAGCGTTCTGGGCCGATCTGTCGGCGACCTGGAGCCCTCTGGGACCGTTTTGGCTGTCCCCGGGACAGTCTCGGGGCCACCAGAAACCACCAGAAGAGCTTGGATTCGCCTTCGCCACGTTCCCGGTGGGGCCGTTCGGGGCTAGGGGTGCGGGGGCGGTCAAATCCCTGGCATGGTCGGCGGATTTGACCAGGCTTCTATCCCTTCCCGAAAAGGGCGCCAGTAATGCTTGGACGGGTATCGGAAGCACCCAATGTTGAATGTCAAGCGCACGCAGTTCATGATCACGCAGTCGTTGGCAGTGATGGCGCATGCCGCGCAAGGCGGATTATGGGCGCCGTGATAGCGGACCTTGAGAGAGGACTCGGCGCCAGTTGGATATCCAACGACGTGGCCATCACGTGCGTGCGAATGCGAGAAAACCTATTGAGCTTTTGCGTTTTGACAGGAAGCCGCACAACGAAGGTGAGATGGCGGGGGCGAAAAACTTGTTGCAGGTTCTCCGAAGGGAAGAGGTGGATTTGGAAGAACGCGAGACGAGCGCGAGCGGTGCCGGCGGAGGCTGCTGGTAGAGGCGTTCACGAAGTATGAGCTCCAGAGGTAGGACAGGCCAGCGTTATGTAAAGCATGCGCGGTGGATATAAAGAGCACGGGGGGGAATGGTGCAAGACTTAGAAACCATGGGTAAAGAGGATCCGGACCTGCCGAAGAGGATCCGCACCTGCCTATTGCGCGAAGTCGAGCCAGGTGCATGCGAAACAGAAAACGCGCGAAATGGAACGAGAGCGTCGGCGCACTACGGTGTTCGAGCGAGCAGCACCTGGCGCCGTTTTAACAGAAGGCGGCGATGTCGGAAGCGCCGAAATAAGCAACAAAAAACGTCGGAGTAAGAATCTGCCGACAGCGCGATGCAGAGCGCGACGCGGCCACGCGCGAGGCAACCAACAGGAAACGGCAAATTGAAGCGGAAACACAGCCACTGACCTGTTGCGCGGCAGTTTGTGGTACAAACTTCTGGGTCACGGTGCATTTGAAGCCGGAGCAGGTGGAGGAACATCGGAGAAAGGGACGCGCCAGAGTGGTTTGTTGAGATTGTGACAACCGAGGCGCAACCGCGAAGAGAGTAGCCGATGCGGCGAAGCGATTGAAGACAGTGGGCGCGCGCAGCGTGCGAGAAGGAATTCCCGCGGCAAGATCGCATAAGCGACAGACAGGGGAGTGATCTCTTCAAGAGGAACCGTAATTACACGCGCGGATTGCAAAGCCCTCGGGCTCACGGCGCGGAAATGGCAAGCGTACGCGTGTTTCGGCACGTGCGAGAGGAAGCACCCGACATCGAAGTTCGTCGTTGGACCGAATTTCGCACGTTCCCACCAGATTGGCACTCTGAATTGAAAGTCGTGCGCATGAGACCCGTTGAAGCGCTTGCGGCAGCGCGCGAATGCTCGGGGGCTCAGGGGTGAACAGGAGGAGGAGGAAGAGGAGGAGGAGGAGGAGGAGGAGGGGGATGTGGGGGTGGAGGAGGAAGAGAAGGAGGTAGAGAAGGAGGAGGAAGAGGGACAGGAGGAGGAGGAGAAGGAGGAAAGATCAGGATCTGGTTTGGGGGCCTTCACTCAGGCCTCCAGTGACCGTTCGGGGCGGTTCCAGCACTCCTGGAATGTATGTGTTCACCTTGGATCTGGAGGCCCTGTGCGGGCTCCCAGACTGTGAGATATGTCATAGGTTTTCGGTTCATCCCGGCATGATTTTGGGTCCGAGTATTGAGGATGTTGCGTTAGATCTCTTTGAAGTTCTCTCGGGGGGGTGGCCAGGGCATGGAGGGACATTATCAGAGTCCCGAGGGATGTTTCTCGGGGTCATTGTATTGCCCGCGGCTGACATTCTCAGCGTTCGCCGTACGAGCATGGGCGAGAGGGCGAAAGTCAATTTTCACAGACGGCGGGCGTATAATGTCAAAATACCGGAAGAATTATTATCGGATGGCCGTCGGCCCATCCCAGCATTGCGCCTGGGTTGTGGGCCTGAGGCCACTCGGATGGCTGATGGGGTCTCGTGTAAGGCCTCTCGGGGGCGTCTTGGATGCAGACGTGGGCCTCTGGGGGGTTCTGGGGGACTCTTGGGGTTTTGGGGGGGCCATGTTGGGGTTCCCTGGGGGCCTCTTGGGGCCTTTTGGGAGGTTATTTGGGCAACCTGGGGGCGTTTCGGGGCCGATGACTTGAAATTTCCATTCGGGTTCCCCCTCTGAGCCCCTTTCGGGGCCGTCATGGAACCCCCTTGGGGGCCGATTGTGCCGTTTTGGACGGAGGGAAAGCCCACGAGGGAATATGTCAAACGCACACGTTGTCCTAAGGGAATGGGGCGGTTTTTGTTTCTTAAATCCCTCTTGGGGGGCCTCTTGGAGGCCTGTTGGAGCGTCTTCGAGGCATCTTGAGCCGCCTGGAAGCCATCGTGGGAGCTTTGTAACAATATTTCGGCGACTCGGGGCCCTCTTGGATCGTCTTGGGGTCCTCTCAGGAGGCCTCAGGGGCTGTCTGGGTGCTGCACAGGGAGCCCAGGGAGGGCCAGACCCCCCCCTGATGATTCCGGGGGTGGACCACCGGGGGCCACGGGGGGTCGTCCCAGGCGGGGGGGGAACATGGGAGGGCAGAATCTCACACGCCGATTGACCCACAATAGGTCGGCGGATTTGTTCAAGTTTACGCCAATCCGCCGACTCCCAGAAGAAGACACGTTCGGCTTCCGATTTCGTGCGTGTTGTTTGCCACTTCCCGTCTTGCTGTCTGCTTGTAATTGTTGTTGTTTCGTCCTCCTTTTCCTCCGAGTCTGTTGTGGTTTGGGGCCTCTTGGAGGCCTACGGGGCGGCCTCTTGGAGCTTTTCCTATGCTCGTGGGGGCTGTTTGGGGCCCTCTAGGGGCTTCTTGGGGGCCTCTTGGGGTCATGCCTTGGGGGGGGCCTCTTAAGCCATTTCCGGCCCTCATGGGGGCCTCTTGGGCCAGTCTGGGTGGGGCCTCTCGCGCCTTTCGGGCTTACAGACACCCGAAAAACCGAGAACGCGAAGATCACTGCAACACCTAAGTCTAATAAATGAGGATTGCTCCTTCAGGCCTTCGTATGGGGTCCTTTTGGGGCCCTCTCTCGGCGTCGTGGGCCGCCTTGAGGCTATCTTGGACGTTTTTGGGGTCTCTCTGGCGTGTTGAAGCCCGTCTGGAGCCACCTCAGAGAACTTCTCGGACGTTCTGGAGGCCACGGAGTGTCGGTTTGTGGGCTCCGGAGGCCCTGGGAATGCGCCGGGGAGGCAGCTAATGCCACCCCCCCTTAACGAGATGTTGGACCCTGGGGGAGGGGGAAGGAGGGAGGGGGAAAGGGGGAGCGAGACAGCCAAATGTCTCACACGCCTTGTCACCCCCGCCAACAAGCGGGGGTCGGCGGATCCTCCGTATGAAGCGCCGAAATAGCATATTGGTGAAATCCCAACGTTGCGCGCGCGCATGCCGATGCATCGCATGCGGTTCGTCCTGCAAGTCGCAGACCAGTCGGCGAATGGATTTTGAAGGTGCAAGCGCCCATGTGGATTCCACCTTGAGCCCTGTAATCAAAGTAAATGCACAGAAGACACCCCACGACGTAATGTTTTCAAGCCGTGCGCCCCAGAAGTCTGAATACCCCGTCCCCCCGTGGCAGACCTTCGCCCCATGGATCCACATTTGGGATGGCCCCTCCGGAGAGCACTTGATAGGAACGCCGCGGCTGCAAAGCTCCACCCGCTGGAGGTCTGGAAGGGGCTTGCTGGTGCCAGCCAGGGCTCCGTGCTCACCCCGTGCCCGGCCATCCCCCGAGGTCCCACTTCCCGAAGCAAAAGCAACCAAAGAATTTCAATCAGAGCCCTCGACCGCATCTTTCTGCGGAGGGTCCCGGGGCCCGAGCCCGGGCAAAGATGCCCGGCGTGGCAAACGTGCAACGCCACGCCTGAATCTCAGGGTCCACCTGTCTCGGGCATGGGATGCTCCTGGCCGGGGTCGGTGCGATCGGGCGGACGGCGACTGAAGATCGAGGATTGCAGGAAGATGGCACCAAAGGAGTCCTAAGTGGCCCCGAAGTTGCCACCGCGGGCTCGAAGGGCGCACGAGAGCTGCACGTTGCCCCCCCCCCCCCCCTGAGCGAACACCCGAGGGTGGTTGGCGTCCCCTGGGATCCCGTCCATCAAGATGCAGGACGCCGCCCAGGGCTGGCGCACCAGACGGGGGGAGGGAAGGTGGCGCCTGCCCCGCCCTGGCCCTGCGTTGGAGGAGCAGGAGGGGAGGCGGACGGGACGGAAGGAGGGGAGGAAGGGGAGAGAAAGGAGGGAGATGAGGAGAAGGAGAGGGAAGATGAGGGAGGACGAGGCAGGATGAGGGAGGGTGAGGAAGGTGGAGGTAGGGGGGAGAGGGAGAGGAGGGAGGTGGAGGAGCGTGGAGGGTGGAGGGGAGGAGGATGGAGATAAGTAGGCTCATGGGGCGGATTAGATATTGATCTGGCGAGTTTCAGGGCGTTTTTTTAGCTCATCCCCTGTCCCCCGCCGCTTCCCCTCCTCACCCTAATCGTCCTGGTCGCCCTCCTCCTTTCCTCATCCCGTAATTGTTTAATCATCCTCATCCTTGGCGTTTCACTATGCCCCTATCTTTCTCTTCATCTTTAACATCATCGTCGCCGTTATCGCAATTCATATCATCATAACATTCCGATCAATTTCGCGCATCCTCCCCTCATCCTCCATCTTGGTTGTTTATGTGTCCCTAATGGTTCTTTCCGACTGCTCTTCTCTCTCTCTCTCTGTTTCCTCTTCTTCCGTCTCCTCCTTGGTTTTCTCTGTATTATGTATTCCCTCTGTTTATTTACCCCCCCTCTTCCTCTTCCTCCGCGTTCTCCGTCCCACTCTCCTCAACCACTTTCGTCGCCATATCCTTACCCGCACCATCATCAATGTGTTCCTCCCCATCTCTCTTTCTCTCTCTCTCTCGCACTTTCGTTCCCTCTCTCGCTCCCTCTCCCTCTCTCTCTCTCTCTCTCGCTTTCTCTCTGTCTCTCTGTCTTTATATGTATATCTCATTGCCGTCGTCCATGTCCTCTGTCCGTTCTTTCTTCCTCCATCATCCTTCCTTTCTTCCTCCATGTCCTCTGTCCCTCTCTTTCTCTTTTTTTTTCTCTCTCTCTCTCTCTCTCTGTCTCTCTCTCTCTTGCTCTCTCTCTCTCTCTCTCTCTCTCTTTCTATCTCTCTTTCTCTTTCTCTGTCTCCCTCCTCCCATTCCTCCACTCCACTCCCCCCTCCCGAATCCCCCATCATCCCCCCCCCTCTTCCCCACACAAACACACAAAGTCTTCTCTTCCTCCCCACCTCTCCCCGTCCAGGGCGGGCGGCGGGGCTGGCCGCGTGCCATTCCCACCCCGCGCGCCCGTAGACAGGCGGCAGGTCGGGCAGGTCACCGCTTGGCCTTGTTCTCTCGCCGTCGCGGCAACGTGGAGCAGGGACACCACGAAGGCTTGGGCGGCCAGACTGGGCCTGGACCGACGGAGTGGGAGGAAGGGGAGGAAGGAGGAGGAGGAGGAGGAGGAGGAAGAGGAGGACCGGCAAACCCAAGACGCATCAACGGTGTTGCATAAAGCTCTCCCTCCAAGTTCCCTCTTCATCGGGTCCTGATGGAATTCATGTTCATTGCGTGGAACGGCATATTAGAAGATGACCGCGTGAGAACCCCCAATCGTGCCGAATTGCAGTTCTTGGGACTTCAACGCCGCGGATCAAGGTGACTGCTGCGTTTTTCGCAATCCGACTCGTTGCAGAACGCCGTTCCTGGGACTTCGACACCGCGCATCAAAATGACTGCGAAGGGCTTGGTGGTCCTAGTTCGTGCCAGGATAGAATTTAGGGGACTTCGATTATACGAACCCTGGAAACTGTTGCACGCAAGTGTTTAAGACGACTGCGCTCGGCGCTAGGGCGAGGGACTCACTTTGAGAAGGAACCACCGCGCATCTTTGAAGCGACCCCAAGCTTGTAAGACGCATGGGCGCGGCGCGAAGGCGAGAGCCACGTGTTGAAAAAGAACCGCCCTCAATCCGCGAAATGGCTGTGAACTTTTGAGACCAACGTATGCGGCGCCAAGGCGAGAGCCACATGTTGAAAACCGCGAGCCCCAGATCCGTGGAACTGTTGCAATCGTTTCCGACGAACGCTCGCGGCGCTGAGGCGGGAGCCACATGTTGAGAACGGCCTTTCATCGGGCTGCAAGCTTTGTGCGCAGCGCCACTGCGAGAGCCACATTTTGAGAACCGCCCGCCCTCCATCCGTAACATTGTTGCAAGCGGCACTGAGCCGAGGGCCACATTTTGAAAACAGCGTGCCTTTCATCCGTGGAATTGTTATACAGACTTTTGAGACGAATGCGAGCGGCGCTTCCGCGAGAGCCAAGACCGCGCGCCCTCCATTTGAAATATGGATGCAAAGTTCGAGCTACTGCTGCAACTATCAAGCTTCCAGAACACAAATGGCGAGGAAGTCCCAGGCGAAACATCCGGCCTATTCTGCTGACGCGGCTGGGGGTGCACAGGAGGAGCTACGTAGGCGGTCGGTCGGTCTTATGATCTTGCGTGTTGCTTGTTCCCCGAAGATTATCCACGCCTTCTTCTTACATTAACACGGGGACGGCGAAATTGAAACAGAGCTCTGGGCTCACGGGGATTCTCGCAGGGATTCTTAGCACGACTGTTGCTAGGACCCGTTCCTTCGAGTTTGGTTTCCCTGCCAGGACTCCTTAGCGAGACCCGTACAACAGCTCTGCCCACGACTCCCTTCTTGCACTCCTTGGAGGAATCCCTACTGAGACTGCTAGCGCGACTCCCTACGCGAAGTCTCTTAGCGCGACTCCCTACGTGGCCTCGTCAATGGGGTTTTCTATGTGGAACGTTGGCAAGGCTCCCTGCCAGGACTCCGTAGCAGGGTTCTCCACCAAGGTTCTCTGTAGGACCCCCCTTTTCAAGAGACCCCCCGGGAGAACTCCCAGAGTCGTATGTAGTAGGCACCACTGCTACGAATCTGGACAGGACTTCCAGGCACTATCGATGGGGAAGCGCGGGGCGAGCGCACCATTCGGCCTTGTAGAAAACCCAACATGTCCTCGATCGTTTTCGCGCCCGCGGGACTCATCGCAGGGACAGCGCCGGGCGAGCGCGCTCGACCCTTTGGAAACTGCCTAGAAATTCCGCGGTCTCGAGTTTCGCGCCCGCGGAACTCATCGCAAGCGAAGCGCCGAGCGACCGCGCCATTCGAACCCTTTGAAGCCGTCAAGAAATTCCGCGGAGTGGAAGCGCCTGGCTATGGCCATCTTGCGGCTATGTGGGACTTGTGCCCCGCTTGGGCGTCCCTGGGGGCCGTCTTTGGGCCCTGCTGGCCATGCGGAGGGTCTCGTGGGCCGTCTTGGGCAGTCTTCAGGCGTTGTCCTTGTCCTCGTCCTCGTCGCCGTCTTCTTCGGTCGTCGGTCCTCGGTCGTCGGTCGCTGCCGCCGTCGCGCTCTCGCGCGCGCGCACCCCCCCCCAGAAATGAGGACGCGGGGAGGAGGAGGAGGAGGAGGAGGAGGAGGAGGAGGAGGAGGAGGAGGAGGATCATAATGAAGATAAGATGATGATGACGAGGAGGAGGAGGAGGAGGAGGAGCATGAGGAGCAGGAGGCGCATGAGGGGAAGACGAACCGGATGCCTGAAACGGACGAGGAGTGATGCGGAACACGATGATGTTGACGATGATGATAATGACGAGTGTGGTGATGATGGAGATGATGATGGTGATGATGATGATGATGTTGCTGATACGGTTGTTGATGATGATGTTGCTGATGATGCTGATAATGATGATGGTAGTGGTGGTAGTTGTGATGACGACGCTGACGATTAACACTACGACGACGGCGACGACGACGACGAGTACGATGATGGTGACGGCGATGGTGATTATGATGCTGACGGTGATGCGAAGGAAGAGGACGATGGAGGAGGAGGAAGAGGAGGATAAGGAAGGCGAAGAAGCCTGCCACAAGTGGCGCCTGTTTGCTCCCAGTTCGTGAGGACGTCTCGTTGCCGTGGGCGTCGGCGGTCTTGGGGGGGAGGGGGGGGCAGGGGGTGATGAGCAGGAGGGTTTGTCGGGATGCCTCGGGTTTGTCGGGATGCCTCTCTCGGGGGGTTTTGGAGGGCTTTTGATGCCTTTCGGGCGGCCTCTTGGGTCCTCGGGTTCGCCTGAGGTCATCTTTGGGCGGAAAGCTCTACATGTCCGTTCGGATACCCTCGGCCCCACTCGTGTATACGTTTATAGATGTTGCGTACACATGTTGTGTAGGTTCTTAAACGTTGCATACACCGCATATTTTTGTACGCGTCTTGTATGCGATGTGAATCAGATTCGTAAGCAGTGTTCTGGCATTGAAAGTACTGGTGGGCATAGTTATGTTAGGTGCGTTTTCGATACATGTTGTGCACGATGCGCTTAGGCAGCGTTTACGTGTTGCATCACTGTATGGCCGCAGTAGTTTTTTGGGCTCGGGCCTTCCGCTGAGGAAGTCGGGAAGCGGCCAAGGGTCCTTGATGGTTGTTGGCCCACTCGCCAAAGCAGCGGTGCTGGGCGTGGCAAGCCTCGGCATCGCGAGGGGAGGTGCCGGCCGCCTCCATGCCCGGCAGCGCTGCCGTGCCCGATGGCCGTGACTTGTCCGGCGGCGCCGGCAGGTCCAGTGTCGATCGGGCCCGCAGGTGACGCTCACTTGCCCGCCACTGGCGGCCTGTCGATCGGGCCCGCAGGTGACCCTCACTTGCCCAGTGGCGCCATGCCCGCCTTGCGAGGCCGGCTAGGAGATTGACGGGGAAGAGGCTCAACGCGGCGCGTGCTGGCCTGATGGGAAAGGGTTGTTCGGCTTCACTTGCCTGCTCGGCAGTGCGACGCCCGCGATCCGTTTCGTATCCGGCGTGCGCTGCACCAGACGGCGCGATGCTCAACCAATGGCAGCCCACTGCGCAAGGTACTTTTCATCTCGTGGGTCGCAGTTTCCGCGGGGGCAGCGCGGCGGCTTGGTCCGAACAACGAGATCCCAGCGCCCGCGCCGCGCATCCTCGTCTACCATATCGGTGACTTCTCGAACCAGGGCACACTAAGGCGGCCGATGCAAGATGGCGCGCACTTGGCGGGATTGGAGTATCATCAGCAAGGCCGCTTTGTGGCGGCGCGGACCGGCGAGGCCGCGGGGACGGCCGCCTGGCGGACGCGCCCGCTGGCGGGGCCAGCCCAGGCGCGGGAGCGCCGGCACTGCCCGCGTTCGCGCTAGCGCAGGCGCCGGCGCCAGGCGTTCCCATCGGGAGAGACGGCGACGGCCCGTGCCCTGCAGCGCCGCGCGGGCGCACGAGGGCGGCTCGCGACTATCGCCCGCCGGGGCGACCCAACGTCCAGCCCGCGGCGCTGCAGACCGCGCGGCGGGCGGCAGCCGCGAGCGCGACGCGCCCAGGGGGCAGCGTCAGCCGCGGAGACGACGTGGCCTGCAATGGCACGGGAGAAGTCGACCCAGATGAACGGCGTGATTGCGTTGATGGGCGTCGCCGTGCCGATCGAGGACGTCGGGGGCGGCGACGCGGAGGCGCATCGGTCCAAGGGGGCGCATCATGATGCTAGGCCCCTGAAGTTGCAGCGCCGCGGGCACGGCGAACGACGGCGTCCGAGGCGAGATGCGGCTCGCGACGCGAGCGCCGCGAAGCAGAGGGATCGGCAACTCCCGTGACCACAGACGGCAAAGGGGCTAACCATGCAGCAGCGGAGCGTTGGCGAACACGAGACGCTCGCCAAGATCCTGGAGAGGCTCGGCAGCCGCGCCCAGTGGAGCATGGCCAACCTGGAGAGCACGGAGGAAGGCCCGCGGCGCATGCAAATGATCGAGCACGTCCGCCGCGGGGTCGGCCGCCACTCGAATGGCGGCAAACGGCGCGACGAGAAGGGCGGCACGGGCGCGCGCCCTGGATGGGCTGGCCAACTTCAGCGGCAACTGCCGCAGTGCGTCGAGGCCATGCCGGTGCTGGAGTGGCCGACGCACGCGTCGACCGAGCTCGAGCGCGATGCGGCCATCATGACGCAGATGAGGAAAGCCCGCGAGGAGGGGGAGTTCGCGGGCAAGAATCACCAGTGAAGGATCGCGCCGTGGGAGCCCCCGAGCCCGCTGCGCTCTGGCAGGGGGCGCGCCAGGGGTGAGCCCCAGCGGCGCAGCTGCACATGGCTCTTAAGAGGACAGCGCGGTGATGCGCAACCTGCCCCCTCTACCTTCAGCCCGCCCCACGCGCGCGGGCGGGGAGGAGCGCCGCCCAAAGTCTCGACGGCCTCGCCAGCGCCGAGGAGAACGGACGGCCCCACTGCGAAGAGCGGGCCAGCCGATGCCCGCGCCCTGATCGAGCTCGACCGCGGGCCATCGAACCCGCAACCAGCTGGTCTTCCGGCTGGCGCCGGGCAGGGGCGCAGCCTATGTAATATCCAGGCCGCGGCAG